CAACACATCTTCCCCTCCCCGTGCGACCTTATTGTAAACAATCTAAGTATTACGCTTAGGTATCCACCTAAGCTCATACAACAGTCAAGCCGTGACAGGTATTCACCTAAGCTCAAACAGCAGTCAAACTGTAACAAGAACATGTAAAGTTTCTATGCCTTTGAACTGGGAATAATTTTGCTGAAGTATGAGCTGAAGTGACATTGCTTCAGCTTCCTCACACTTTTCAACCTTTGTCTCATTCAAAATCGTGCTTAATACTTCGACTTTTATTGATCCTCCATCAACTCTAGACAAAGAAGGTATATTTTTGGTCTTTATCTCTGATGTGGTTGCAGAATCCTTCAATGTTGTCTCAACAGTGAAGAATACTGACCTAGCTTTTAGCTTGAGCCTCATCCCTCTGAACCAGTTCTTATAGTTATCCCTTGAGAGCGAGGGGATTTTACCGATGACTTCATTATTCTCCATTATTGTGAGGTTTAATCTAGGGCGTGATTTTGATTCCTTGCTCAAATTGTAGAAAATTTGATTCCTTGCTCGAATCTTAGACTAAGCCTTCAAGTGTTACGGTTTGACCGTGGTTTAGCTTAGGTGGAGACCTAAGCAGAGTTTGGGGGTGTATTAGGGAGAGTGTTTTGTATTATATTGTATCAAGCGACTAAATTTCACTTGGCTACATTACATTGGAGCTAGGAAGGAATGTGAGACAGCGAAGTAGAATTGCCAAGTGAGAGAGTCAGATAGATGGCAAAGATGACGACGGGCAGTGGCGAAGCAATATATCATTCTCACCAACAGAGTACGTATTGGATGAGCTAGAAGGATGTACAAATAGTCATTACCCGTAGTTGTGGTACTTCTCTCTTCATATAGTTTAATCTTTCTAAAAGTACACTACAACCAGCTTGGTTTTGTCACATCAAGGCTTTGGAGTTGATTTTGATTCTATCTATACCTGTGGTAACCCGGGCTTATAACTTATTAAATTGGGAGGCCTTCTATAGCTGTATGACTGTAGAGAAGACAAGAGAATTAGCACAGTGGAAGGAGATCAGATAGAATGAGAAGCAATAGTGTTGTATTCACGAGAGTGTGATGGACTAAAACTACTAAGTACAGACTTTCTCCACGCGGCTGATCTGCATGAGTAGCGTTTTTGACGCAACTCCTAAGTTTGACCTTGACTATCTCGGCTAGCTCTTATACCAACCAGACATACCTTGCCATTTAACACTCCACCTGTTATGGCGTGCTGTTGGGTAGATCGAGATCGCCGTTTGCCGAGGGTATGGGAAGGTCAAGTGGTGAATACTATAGAGATGGAAACTCGACAAAGTACTATGGCTAGAAGGAAGCGGGTTTGTTAGAGGAATACTGTAATAATATTATAAGATTGTGAAGCTGGAGAACTACTTTGTTGTAGCTCCAGCTTCCTTAAGTACAAATAACTGTCTAACACCGTTCAACAAAGACTGTTGTAATTTCCCATCATAACTCAAACTATGACCTCAACCATATCAAATCCAGTTGGCGCATTATCTAGTCCCACCTTATAAGTGCAAGTGTTAAGGGTTAGCTCAAAAACCTGTTCCATGAGCTTTATCCTCAGGCATTCTGCTTAGACTCTGGTTCAAGAATGTCTCGCCATGACACCACCCATTTGTTTTCCTCGACTGTAATTGCTATGGCCAGGCATCCTTGAAGAGGCTTCAAGGAGAAGGTTCTAAGGAAAAGGTGATAAGAGAAAGTTTTAAGAAAGGTTTTGGAAAAAGGTTTGCTGAGAAGGTTTCCGGGAAAACTCCGACAGTTAGAGATGGAGGGGCTGGCGTCAAAACTACATTTGCCATAGTCTTAGTTGAGTTCAAGTACTGTCTCGAGTGTCACGGATCAAGGAACAGGCGCTGGTGCAACTATGTGGTTGATAGTATGTAAATTATCATTCTGAAGAGAAAACTACTTCAGTCTCTATCTATACTTATATATACATTGTCTATGTGGTTGAGGCACAGTCCCTCCCTCTCGGTTCCAATGGGATTCTTCACATGTGTTGTAGCTGTATGGTCCAATACTGCTGCCCTGCCAAACTAGATGCCGATGCCTTGATATTCTGTTGAGTGGCATCATATATCCACACATTGATGTCGATCAATCGTGCGCTACCAATATCAGGCTAGGCTCGTGTTGGCCAACATGCGCTACAGGAACCAATCGGCTTACCAGCCGTTACATCAAGTTAGACTTATAGATGCTGGAGCTACCACATAGTAGCTCTCCAGCTTTTTAATCTTTCAATCTTTCATTCTTTTGATCTTTGATCTCGCAATCTAGCATTTAAATAATATCATAGTCTGTTGAGAAATAAGTCTAATGCATTGCAATTCCAGGATCCTCATGACCCTTATTATGGGTCTGAGTTGTCATCATTAGCCAGGAGTTAGGAGAACCGGAGAGCAAGATACCCTGTACAATTAGCTTGTTTATCACGTGGTTATTGGGTTGTTTTGTTAGCGTGCACGGACCCACACTCAAGATGTAAATCTCGAGTGTTGGATCCGTTCTCATGGATAATTATTTTTATATCTCTAACAAGTTGTTTTCATAGACAAGTCTACCTTCCATGTTTTATATTAGAACTCCTTAAAGTGATCATTACACAATACAAGGACTAAGGTTTTAATATAATCTTATATTCTCACAGTCCAATATTTGCAGTCTTTCATTAGTTGTTACATTATTTGTACTTATGTTCACCCTAAGTTATTATCCTTGATTGCTTGCTTGTCAACTCGACTTCTTGACATCGTGTCTCTCGACTATCCTGTAGTTCTACGACCTTTGACCACCTGGCACCTTGCCAATCGAATTATATCTAAGTATCCTTCGTTAGCAACTATAATCCTAACAGTTATTAATACCTTATCTTCGGCAGACGGCGATCCCCAGTATCCTCAGCGCACGCCGTAACAAATAATCCATTTATGACCTATTACATTTTCCAACAATGTAGGACAGACCATTAAAACAACACTTTTCTTTTTCTTTCTAATTGGGGTTTTCCTTCAATTGATAGTGGGATCCCATTACTGGTTCACCAGTGTGTATTTGTTCAGACACCGAAAAGAGAGGGAGAGAGGTGTGTGTTTATTGTACTACTTGAGCCTATGACTATCTAGTACATTGGACTCCTTACTGAACCAGGCCACACCTTGTACAGCGCTCCTTGCCTCTCGTGTTCCTCGAAAGATCATTGATCTTTGCCCTTGATGAATAGCCATTCAGCTCAGTATTTACCCGTAGAATTCAGCCAGCTTTTCCACGGAACCTTCAAAAATGGCAGCAATGGAAACTGCGTGTGCGAGAAAAAGTCTCAAAAAACCTGCAACCCCAACCAGACGAGGCATAGACACCGGGACCACATGAGGTGCGCATATTCATCTATATCTCCCTTCTTTGTAACAGTCAAGACCAACTTGATCCAATCTTCCATCTCCGTATCGGGTGCTGGGTACGCTCCTGAAACTCATCGGATGGCTTTTCCTCCATGATCAAGGGTTGGTGATGAGTAGGGCTCCGACCCTAACATCTGATCCGATCGTGGTTTGCTCCATGATAATGGTGATGCGGAGTTGTGCTTAGGGGAGAAGACGACACAGGCCGCTAAAGCGATTGAGAATCCTCGTCGAAGTGAGGACTTTGTTACTCAATCTTGGCTCTGCAGTCTCTGCAGTGAGAGCTGGAGGTTCATAGGAGACATCACTGACAGGTATTGAGATTGTTCCCCCTGAGATACCTGAAAGTATAGGGCATCGAACAACCTCATGGGTAATACCTCGTAGTGTGGGAAGTCCCTTTGTTAGATTCATAATGAAAGCAGCATCGAAGGAAGAAAATAGGCTTTATACATGACTTGTTAAAGTTAGGGATAGAATAATCCAAATGTCGCAGAAAGTTTCCTTATCAGATCCAACATAGGTTATGGGATAACTAAATGTGACATTTATTCATTGCTTTCTTGTGGCGGCTGTGAACAAACCGTCATCAAGTCTTCGAACAAGTTTTGAAGATATGCACAAGTATGTCTTTATCGCCCTCCTTTCAGATGAATATTGAGTCACTTAGATACGATGGAATTGTATGTTGCTGAGATGGGCTACGAACAGAAATAATAAATCAAACTTTACTTGAATCTAACTGTGCCTTTAGTACGTACACAATTACAGTATTGAAAATACAATTGATGTGGATTTGTCAGTGTAGGGCGAAGGAAAAATAGATTTTTAAGTATAAATAGACTTGCTTGAGCTGAGGTGAGCTAGTGCGGGAAAGTAGGGTATATATCAAGCTAATAGCGAGTTATAATTCTTTTACAGGGGCAGTGCGAAATGTTCGCACGACAGAAGGCGGGAATAGATCGCTAATAAGTGGACTAGCTCTTGCCAAGATAGTATACAATTACGTTTTATAGCTTCTAGTATTGGAATGTTGCATTTGGAATCATTTTACTTGTTAATTTATTAACACTTTCTTTGAGTAGCGAAGTATGGTCTCACCTGGGATACTAGTTTTCCGAATTTAGTTAAAAGTTCATTAATTATTTTCAGGCTGTGAAATAGAGATATATCGGTAGGCGAGGGTATTTAAGCACCAGGTTTTTTTGTAGCTAGGAAGGAGCACATTTAAAGACGAGCATGTCATATGATCCTAGTGGGTTAAACTTATTTATGTTAGATTACACCGTAACCTTGTTCTTTAAATTTTTGACCGTTGTTGACCTTTTGTAGATAAAAAATACAAATAGAACTTCAGGGTTTCAAAGAAGTCGAAATTTCTTCTCATGCATGCAGAAACCAACACTTTAGACCTCCATAGGCCAGGGATTATGTACAATGCGGCTTTTAACATAAGTATTTTCACTTATGAATATATAACGGTGAGCCCAAACTTGATGGTAATAAAAAGGGGCAAACTTTGACCATTAAATTTTTCGTATAGATAGCTCATATCTCAATATTGTTTTGTTGAATAAAATATGCTCTATTTGAAGTGAGAAATAACTTGGTTAGTGAGAATTTGAAGACTTACTTGCATGCCTCATAAGCGGACCAACATATAGCAGTTCCAGGCATTGTGGTAACAACCCTTGGTTTAACGCCTTTGAAAAATCCAGAGTAACCTTCTCTTTTATGTAGTAGTTTGGCCCCTTCCATGAATCCATTCACGTTTCTCAATGCTGAATCGCTTGCCGTTCCTCTTGTTTGTAGCATTGTTTTCACCACGTCCATAGGTGTGGTTAGAGCTGCTGCAAAACCACCGGCAAGAGCACCCGCTGAACAGTGTGTGAAAGGGTCATAAGCTTTTGATGGGTTTATGAATGTTGATAATGATTCATACGCAAGAAACTGAAGAGCAGTGAATGGGATTGTCATAGAAAGTGTGGTAGGATAAGAAACATAGAAAGCTGAAATTCCTTCGGTGCGATATACATAACGAGCACAGTCAGAGAAAGATCTGTAAATCTTGTGGGAATTGTGAATTTGCATCCTTTGTTTAATTACTAGTGGATATTAGCATTTTTTGATACATCATACCAAATGGACTACCGGATACCATCAAATGGATTCATGAGAGCATCACTGGCTATCGTAGCACAGGCTCCGCTAGTAACTAAAACGCATCAGTGGCAATATGGGCGGCTATAATATTACATACCTGCAGCTAGGGGATGATGTACACCAGCTTGATTTCCACCCATAAGATGTTTTACAGCTTCATAGGTAGCAAAGTATACTGCGTGAGCTGGACCTAATGTAATTTCAATAATTGTTTTTTTGTTTGGAGCAAAGTTAGAGCTACCAGCGCCCATAATCACACTTGATACGCCGCGCCATAAACAGAATATGCCCTCTCCAGTGGCTATTCGGTAAGCTCCTTGAAGCATGCCATTGTAAACTGCTGATGGTGTCGGGTTGAGGATTTGCATTCGCGTCTATAAACGATCAGTTAGGGTTTCTTTAAAAGTACCCAAGCCAGCCATGTACCTTAATCGCATCAATCGGGTACATTACAGTGTGCTCCTATAAATAATTTAGCTTGCCCAGATTTTGGAAGGCTCTAAACCTCACGGCTATGCCAGCAAAGGCACCAGCGGTCATATTTTGTAACAGGGAGAAATTAGGTGGTAACGCTTCATAACTGAATTGTAATAATTAGCAATCCACGATAAAAGATAATTCATTATAATCGAATTTCCGAGTATCACAACTAACTCATGTTCTGCAGGCTCTGCATTTGTCTGGACAATTGGGACTGCTAAAGCCATAGATCCTTCTTCCTATCTGGTAAGTTGATATGCCAGGATTTGATTTTCCTGCCAGTCCTGGAGCACACAGTAGAATCCGGGCAAATCCGAGACGGGATGCGCACGCTATTTATGGGTGCCGAGTGAAAGCTGTTGCAATGTTGGAGGTAACTTCGATATACTCGTGGGCCCGAACTTGGTGGATCACTGGGTTTTTTTCTTCCAAAATCGGAACAGGGATTAGGCTCATATAAACGATGGCGCACATTCAGTTTCTTACAGAAAACATAGTAATAACTATTCCACAAGACGTAACAGGAATCTTGATTTCGCATTAAATCATTAACCCGAATAAACAAACGCAAGTGGAAGTCACCGAAATAGTATTAGCGGGAAATTTCAGCGCAAGATTTGATTCACAGCTAAGGCCCGCCAGTAAATTGACACTCGTCATGTGCCCGGGAGTTCTAACTTCGCTTGACTCAAGAGTTCAAGGGATAATCTCAACCAAAGAACATATTTATCCTGACTACATTAATGGTACTGAGCAAATGTCTTTTGACTGAGACCTGAGCCTTTACAGATTATTCGAATATCAGTGGTAGAATTCATAAACTTCATATAAAAATTGGTTATCCGATTTAGTGTATAATTGTCCAATCGGAATAAATCTACCTCTATCTTCAGGAAATCGATTTATCTACATGTTAAAATTGAGATTAAGTCCGACCGACATTATCTTAGTCAATAACTAAATACCTTCATTAATTTATCCCGAAATTTACTTAGTACAACCTGTGCTTCCAATATAAAACCCCTACTTAACTCCGAGAAAACGTTCGAATGCCTAAATTTCAACGCCCCCCCTACCATCATTCTGTGCCTTTTGGAACTTGTACAGTAGACCGAGAACACCTGTTGCCGTTTCATCACTTTCTTCATTTTCGGCTGCTGTGGCTCGCGTTGGTGACATTTCCCATCTAGATTCATCCAATTCTTGATAACTCTGACATGATTTCGTCATTGTTTGTTTTCTTCTGGACTCGAGATCAAGTATATCTTCGTCTTCCGTACTTTCTTCAACAATATTCTGTTCGGCTACGTACCGAGACCGCGAGGAACTTTCATCAAAGCCAGAATTTGAAGGTTGATGATGAGGATCAAGAAGAATAGACTGCAGTGGTGATATAGTATGAGGGTTTTTCGCTAGTAACCTTGAGTTGCGAGCTCCAAGTCGCTGCTTGTTGCGTATGGTGCGGTGGGTTTGTGACTCCGGAGAAAAGAGAGGCGAAACTAATCCTGGTAAAGTTGGGCCTCGTGGATAATTTTGCATGCCGGGAGGAACATGACCTTGGATAGCTGTCTTGGGGTTGATCAAATAATTATCAATAAACCCATAATAAGAAGCTGCCATTTTTCCGTGTTTAGTAGAATAATAGTCATCTCGATAATCTGTATTGCTTGCAAGGTATGGCGCTTTTCTGCCATCACTTTTTTTGAAATTGAAAACAGCAAACGAGCAAACGTAACCCACACCATCAACATGCACGGTAAATTCGCGAAAGAAATCAATGATCTGTTCGCTGCATTTGGGAAGGCTAAACCATAATATAAATGGCGTTACTATTATGCTGAAGACCTCTTGGAAAAATATGACAATCTTCAGCTGATAGAGCGTTGCAAATTCCCTTTTGACATCGTCGCAATGGAGTCGATTTTGCCAGTGGTTAGGCATGTAGTGTATGTAGTCGATGACATTTCGTAAGGCATACTCGGGATCAAAGACTAAGTTCTCTTCAGGAATCATTCCTTTCGTCAAAGCCCATATAGCACCGAAAACCCCAATATAGAAAACGACAGGTCTATCAGTGGTAATCTCAAAGTTAGTGAGCATCTCAGGGTCCCATAGGGTAATAACTGCCAACACTGAAACTATCGCTCCTGAAAAAAATGACGCAGACCTCGCAAAATGAGCCATCTTAGCCTTTGGAAATTGATCCAAGTACCTAGAAGCAAATGGATATGACATATTTAACCTCTTATCAAATAAATGTTGAAGTTCATTAAACTCGCGAAACTTCCACACTGCTAGGGGAGTATACTGCCGTGATCCGACAGCAGCAGGATTTTTCTGGTATTCCTGTTGCTAATTAGTAAGTTTAGATAGCCGGAGTTTCGAAGAAATTTACATTAAAATATCGCAAAAAATAGACTATCATTAGATAAACAACTATTATTGGCGCAAAGCAAGCATTCATGACTCCTGCGAATAAAAACCGACCTCTCAAAGCATTACTCAATTGTTTTCGATGTGAGTCTTTAAGTACAAGCTGCCGAACCTGTCCGTGCTCATTGAATACAAGATCCATGATACACTGGTCGATATTCCATAGAAGAGCTCTTGAGAATAATTGGCGGCCTTGAAGAAAAGGGACTGGAAGGGTCAAGTCGAGAATATCCTTATTGAATAGTGCGATTAAATAATTCTCTCGCCGCATTAGCCTGTTGGCAATATCATGTGCGTCAAGTCGCTGTTTTGACTGACTCCCGAGAAATTTTCGGTTTGATGAAGAAATCATTTCGGCCGTGATCGGATTAGCATCTCTCAAGGCCATAATACGAGCCACCACATCTTGCCAGGATACAGTTTGCATATCACTTTCAGGGATTTCAAGGAGATATAAGTAGAAGTCTCTGATCCGCAATAAACGAGGAATATCTGCAAGTAATTGATAAATTCTCCAAAAAACATGCAAAGTGAACAGCCATATCGCTAGATTTGAAAATCCAGCAATTTTCTTGGTGCATTGTGGTACTAGGACCTCTGAAAGGTTTCGGCTTGTTGGTATCTGAGGAAAATCTACACACTGAGTGAGAAAGGTTGTAAAAATAGCAACGAAGACAACCTGACTAGGGAACATTAGCCTTTGTTAAACTAAAAATCACCTTAAACTAACAACAAGTTTAGGAAACCCTCGAGTAAAATACATTGTATGCCAGAGCCATAATAGTAATCATATACTTCTCTTATAAAATTATCCAAATTGGTGACGTTCGCCCATCTCCATAGCGCTTTTTCTCGAGAGTTTCTGAGAAACGCTGCAGTGATTCCAGGGCTTTTCAAAGGGTTCCCTGTGTTATTTCTATCAAATACTTGCGGGTTTGGTTGGGAGTATGTATCATTTAATGTTGCAGTTGATTTCCCATTTAAAATGCCAGGCTTGGGTAAAGCCTTGCGGAAAGGTTTTGGCTGGCTTTTTCTTATAGTTTTCGGTGTTCGAGGGCCCGGAATATCATGCCCTTCGATAAGCAATGAAGCTGGAACATCATCATCACCGTCTTCTGTTTGTAATCTGGGAATTTGGTGGTCCCATTTCGAACGATTTACATGCGTTGTTCGTGTATCTTCATCCAATCTTTGAAGTGGGTTCTCTTGATGTGATAAAAATCCCGTACTTTCGACAGCTACATGGCTATCGTTTTCATTGAAAATATCAACGTCAGCAAGCTCATGATTTTGCAGTCCAAGGTTCTCTTCATCTATATTAAATCCAACATTCAGCTCTACATCAGACGGGGACCCTTCTTCATGATAACTGAGTGCTTCGTATATTGATCTACTTGTAATGTTCGTATCTAGAACTCGAGAAATAAGTTTTGAGGTCATCGTGAACGTAGGTCAGCTCTAGTGCATAGGTCGTAGAACTGATCGTTCCAAGGCAGATAGGTTCTTGAGCGATAGCACCCTCAAACAAAGGGAGCACATGTGAAAGCACTATTGATCCACATTTTATCGATGTTTCATGATTGATTTGCCAAACAAGCCCAAGATACAGGATGAAAGGGGAAAGATGGTCAGGTATGGGTAACATATGGATCTTTGACTTGCTTGTCGCACAGCCTTGCAGTATATAACGGTAGCCTTTGATTACATAGATCATTCCTCTTGCTCGAGGCACGTACTTTAAACACATTAGACCAAAGATATGGCTGCTAATGTCATCCACAACTCACATTTCGATTCCAATGAAGATAATGAAAATCAAACGGATGGCAATGCACAGGGAAGGTCTCTTGCTTCCAAGATTACGACCGTCCTGTCAGCGTCATACACAGACTCTGATATAAGAGATGCAATTCACCTACTTGATAAACAGAATTTAAAAAATACACCAGCCACTCGCCGTCAACTTAGGCATCATATACAAAAAGATCTAATTGAAAGTAATGGTAATTTAATCAATGAGTTCGGTCTTGTTGCCAGAGTAAGCTTTAAGCTAACCTCAATTGATGGCCCAATCGTTAATACATCCAGCAATTAAAGAATATCGGAAGTACGATTAAAAACTTGAACCAAATTTGTGGAGAAATGAAGCTTCAAATATCTAAAGCTCACCAAGAAACTGCACCTCTTCTTAGCGAAGCTTCCGCCCTCATCAAACAAAAGGACGAAGCTGAGACAAAACAGCTATTCTTGGCTGCATTTAATTCCAATTTTATTATCTCAGAAGAAGATATTGCATTATTGACTTTGGGTACGGAGCCAGTGGATGATGAGTTCTTCGCTGTGCTCGCTAGGGCTAAGAAGATCCAGAAGGATTGTGAAATCTTGCTCGGTACTGAAAATCAACGATTAGGACTCGAAATTATGGAAAACATATCAAGAGACATAAGCAACGCCTTTCAAAAGTTGTATCGGTGGATTCAGCGAGAATTTAAGTCACTCAACTTAGAAAATCCTCAAATAAGCTCTTCAATACGACGGGCACTCCGTGTATTAGCTGAACGTCCATCTCTCTTTCAAAATTGTCTCAACTACTTTTCTGAGGCTAGAGAGAAGACGTTGACTGGATCATTTTACACCGCGCTGAGTGGAACGTTAGATATGAACTCTAGAAATGACTCTATTAAGCCTATTGAATTAGTTGCTCATGATCCAATAAGATACGTTGGAGATATGCTAGCGTGGACTCACTCTGCTACAGTTAGCGAGAAAGAGGCGCTTGAAGTTTTGTTCAAAGTAGACGGTGAAGAGAGTGTACATGGCTTACAAGCAGGTTGTAATAGTGAACTATGGAATCAAATAATTCAAGATAAAGCCGAAGTTTATGAGTTTGACGAAATAAGAGCATTAAATGAACTTGTAGACCGGGACCTCAGTGGTGTAGCAAGCATTCTACGCCAGCGTATAGGTCAGGTTATTCAAAGTCACGAAGAAACGATATTGGCTTACCGGATCACCAATTTGCTTAGCTTCTATCGAATAACGTTTTCAAAACTATTGGGAGACGACTCAAACCTATTGGAGTCTCTTTCTACGCTTGAGGAATCTGCATCAAAGCAGTTCCGAATGTTAATGCGAGAAAATGTTTCTATAATCCAAACTGACACTCATGCAGCACCTGAAGATTTTGGGCCACCAGCATTCCTCTACGATGGTTTGAAGCAACTAAAAACTATCATGGAAACATATGAGGCTTCATACACCTCCCTAGAAAGTAGGGAAGTAGATTTTCAGGCAATTTTAGTAGATTCATTTGATCCATTTATACATGGTTGCGAGAAAATTTCCGGAAGCTTGCAGATACCGTATAATCTTATATTTTTGATAAATTGTTTGCTTGTTGCTAGAAATACTTTAATGCCATTCCCATTCACCCAGAAAAAAGCGTCAAGCATATCGAAAAATATTGAGCGAGTTTCTGCAGAACTTATTGATCATCAGCATCACTATTTTAGAAAGAATTCTGGGCTCAAAAACTTGTTCGAAGCAACAGAAAATATTAATTTATCAGGTGAAGATTATAAGGCCATAACTTCTTTAGGTCCATTACAACCTGATGCTCTTGCAAGAACTAGCCGCACACTTGACGAATTTTTACCATCAGCTCTGATTGACGCTATTGGTAACCTTAGCTATCTTCAGAGCTCGGTTATGGCAAGGGAGGTGACAGAGAAGGCAGTAGAAAAATTTTGCAGCGATTTCGAAAAATTTGAGCAGACTCTTTCTGCTATAGATGAAAGATATGGGCAAGCTGAATGTGATGATGACTGGAAGCCACTACGTGCCAACTTCCCACGAACAATCGGCGATGTTAGAGTTTTACTTTCATGAATAATCTAAAGCCGTCAACGGTTTTAGAAAGTTAATATTCTGAAACGTCCGTGATAACAAATCATTAAATTCTGACGGTACCAAAAAAATCCCGATTAATTGGCCACCCAGATCAGTTTTTCATCTGGGAATCCAATGGGATACCATCAAACTAGCCAGAATTTTGATCAACAATAGATGAAATCAAGAATACATCAGAGCCTCTAGATTAGACAGCAAAATCGCAGCGCTGTAATAGTAGACCTCCTGAAGGTATAAGTATTGCAGCCCAACCATACAATGAACAAAATCCTTTCTCCCAGTTTCATTTGGTAAGGGAATTGTATGTTATCCCTGACCCAAAAATTTATAGTAAATACGACAAAAAAATTAAAGCTATGCTTCATGTGTATCTTGCAGAAGAATATTATAACTCTAATTCACTGAGAAATGGATTCTTTACTTTGACAGAATCAGCTTAACTTAACTTACATTTTACCTTATCCCCAAGAATATTAGTTTCCACGCTCTGCCGCTATGGATGAACATCATTATTAGCAAGGAATAATTAATGCACCCTTCATAGGATGCAATTCACTTAACTGTGGGGTAACCCTAGAGTGCATGAGGTTGGTGTGTGCCGGTATAGGCAAATAGCGAGTGTATATGTGAAAATCTGTAATGATATAGAAGACTTCAAGCGGATTACGGAAAATTCGCTCATTTCTCTGTGGAATGAGCAGTTTTATTTTTATCAGGTGCGTAACACGACAGGCATGAAGATTATTTCAACTCATGTTAAGTCTAACTACATCTCGCACGTTTATACCCCTCCACGTTAAAGACTTTCTTAACTCAATTCTGTGATTTCATGTTTTCTTCCATTCATGCAGCGCGGAACGTGAGAAATAAGTTCCTCAAGAATGGCACACCAAACTGATGTTCTAGGGGGACTAAAACTAATCACCTGTCAGTGGTGTCCCCTATGAACCTCCAGCTCTCACTGCAGAGACTGCAGAGCCAAGATTGAGTAACAAAGTCCTCACTTCGACGAGGATTCTCAATCGCTTTAGCGGCCTGTGTCGTCTTCTCCCCTAAGCACAACTCCGCATCACCATTATCATGGAGCAAACCACGATCGGATCAGATGTTAGGGTCGGAGCCCTACTCATCACCAACCCTTGATCATGGAGGAAAAGCCATCCGATGAGTTTCAGGAGCGTACCCAGCACCCGATACGGAGATGGAAGATTGGATCAAGTTGGTCTTGACTGTTACAAAGAAGGGAGATATAGATGAATATGCGCACCTCATGTGGTCCCGGTGTCTATGCCTCGTCTGGTTGGGGTTGCAGGTTTTTTGAGACTTTTTCTCGCACACGCAGTTTCCATTGCTGCCATTTTTGAAGGTTCCGTGGAAAAGCTGGCTGAATTCTACGGGTAAATACTGAGCTGAATGGCTATTCATCAAGGGCAAAGATCAATGATCTTTCGAGGAACACGAGAGGCAAGGAGCGCTGTACAAGGTGTGGCCTGGTTCAGTAAGGAGTCCAATGTACTAGATAGTCATAGGCTCAAGTAGTATAATAAACACACAAACACATGACACCAATTGCACTCTTACTGGAACTAAAGCAAGAGTGGGGCCGGGCCTGATCAGGTCACCTACCGTAAAGTACAAGTGCCTCGTCCCACCTAAATGACCGGACAACCTCAGACTTCACCCATGTGTTGAATCATGTCAAGACCAACCGTCCAGAGAACTCTCTTTTGATGCGCCGAAGCGCAAATTCCTCCTCAGCCTCGGCCACCACACGCCCGAGCCCTTGACATTTTCGTTGACTCCGAAATATAACTGCCGTCCAAGATCTCATTGTTTCTCTAGTCTTGCACCTTCATATTGTACCATTAGTTTATTGTCATAATTGGGGATCTGTGTGATCTCCTCAGTGTATTTTCCCCTTCTTTCCTCCTTTATACACGTCCTATTTCCATCATGACTTTCCTCATGAGGGCGTGTGTAGGTAGGTGATGTGACGAGTATGAAGATGGATCGCAGGTGCGGGATCGACTGAGATGCTTCGTCACAAATTTATGAGGATTTTGAGAGATGGAATTGGTTTAATTACGACCTGCAGATAGACTCAGGCCCATTCGTGAATCGTATATTGGTGGTGATGAGTCTTTGTTCAACTTTCTTGCGGTTGTGAAATCTCTGCCATCTAATTTTTCGAGCGAAATATCGAGTAAAGCTCCTTCAGGCTGGAAATCTATCAAATAAAATTCATTCCACCCTTACTCATGACTGAATCTCGGCTCTGGGAGAATATTTCACCCCTAGGTTCGTAGAGGGCATTACGGACAGGTGCTAACCCTTCATCCCCCGTACCGTAATAGATGTGGCTGGACTTGGAGTCGGAGATACCAGAGCTAACCTGGATATGACAGGAAAGGTTGAAGATAATATTTGCAATTTCTGAGGCAAAGAAAGACAGAATGTGCAGTAATTACTTTTTGAATGTCCTAAATCCAGGGGTCAAAGGAGCAAATGCTTTCAGGGCTTAGGGCCAAGATCACTTCAGACCTTATTTCGAACAAAGAGGTGGAAGGAGGCATTACTTCAATATGTGAATACATCCAAGTGCATGGAACAACATAAAGTGTCATGTTGAGCCATGATTCGGTTCGGATGGTGCAGTGGTACACCGTTCGTGCCGAACTCTCAAGTAAACTCCGAGTAGATTCAACATCCACCCAAATAGAGACGGGAGGAGGCTGGTAAGATCCTGGTAATAGCCACACACTAATCCCTCTCGAGAACACAATGTGATTGTGAAACAATGGAAGCACACTCGGACAGCCGCAGGTTTTTCACGCTTTTTCCTGCGATAATTATGCACGGAAGAGGTTACACGCCGTAAAGGTTAACCTCGAGTGGTATCTGGGAATCAAATCTGAGTGTGAGTGTTCTAAGCGTCAAATTGATTTATCCTACTTACAGTACATATCTCCCGACAAAACCTGCATGGGTATTGTGGTTATTAAGCTATGTAGACGTCTTGGAGTATGGAACTTAACAGTCTGCGGAACTGAGGGTAGAGGAATGTATGGAGATTAAATTAATTAGAATCTATATACATATATATATATGAAGGGATGTATGTATGTATGTATGTATGTATGTATGTATGTATGTATGTATGTATGTATGTATGTATGTATGTATGTATGTATGTATGTATGTATGTATGTATGAATTTCGTATCAAGCAAAAGCCGTACATCCAAGAGGCATGATACGGGTGTGTGATCCCTTAACAATCACTACTACCTATCTGTCTAGCCCTCTAGGCCGATTAATTACATGAAAAGAAGAAATAAAGGAAATTGCCCAGACAAAAAAATGCCCTGCGCCTTGCCCACTTTCATATTCAAATGCTAAAGATATTCCAGTCCCTCGGAAAGGTTTAGCCCTCTCAATGTGAAAATTTTCTTGCATAGCATCTTGTTACAGTTATGTACTTATAGAATTCCTTCCATCCGTTTTCTGTCAACATGACTCGACTTCTTGGTGGTGGTTCATGTCTGGATATTCTCCATTGTCGCAAAGCCGTTCCGTACTCTGCAAAGTGCCAAGGACATATTTCCCTTCTACAGACGCATCTACAGTCTATGTTCTCATGCCCGAATCTGTCGTGGTAACCCTTGAAATCTCTGTGTCCTGTCCTCGCTGCTATCAGACGATGGTATGCCCATCTCAAAAATCCAAGCTCGGGTGATCGTTTTCGTCTCATTAGAAGGTCTAATTCTTCGTACCGTCTTGGTCTATTTTGAAGCCATCAAGATTCCACTGCTTACTCGGCCTGCTCTCGGACGAGCCGGCTCAGCGCTGCAAAGGTGTATATCTGCTCACCCCAAAAGTCTGAGAGGTCTCTAAGGGCTGCCTTAACCAATTTGTCCGCCTGCTCGTTCCCGGTAATCCCAGAATGTCCCGGTATCCAACGGACCTCGACTGATAGGTGTCAAGGGATGGAGCGGATTGCGTTACCGTATGGTCACGTACTATCACACGTCTGATTCGCGATTCACGATGTATATATATTTATAAGACCGCCCCTGGATCTCTTCGTTTTCTCAGACGGAGCTCTGATGGAAGGCTCAGCAGGTGCACGGTACTGCATTTATCGCGGCGCAAAACATGTGATTGATCAAGGCTCTGTTCCTCTGGGTCAATCAGCAGAAGTATATGATACAGAAGTCGTCGGGGCTATGGAAGGCCTCGCAGCTGCAATTAGAAACCCAATGGCATACTACGCCACCAGTATCACCGTCTGTCTCGACAACCAAGAGGCAGCGTCTCGTTTACTCGTTGGACCGCCGACCCCATCCAGCTCGACTCGGATCGCAAAATTACTGTATCTCGCGAGATCTTAGTCTTCAAGGAACCGTGCCAGATACACTGAGCCAGGAAGGGTCTCTATACGCTGGTGCCCAGGGCAGTCAGGAATCCCTGGAAATGAAAAGGCAGATGCTCTCGCAAGAGCGGCCTGTATCATAACCGCCCCCAACCTGGCCCCTTCCATTGCCAAAGCAAGGAGAATTTTCAATCTTCGCTACGAGGCCTCTGCGTCGGAATATTGGTCGCGACATGCCCCTGATCAGTATAGAGCGCTCAGAATTGGGCCAAGCTCCAGCTGTTATAATAACGAGGTCATGAGGGGACAGAGGAATACCTGAAATGTATGCAGATGATTATGGATGCGCGGATATAATTGATATGGCTGTAGTGAGAAGAAGCGTTGGAATGGACAGTAGTGAGATGGTTGATTTACAATCTATCTGCGGAAGTATTGCTTCCTTATATATACATTCAGTACCCCAGTCCTGATCATGCACTCACCACAGGTGCTTCCTACTTCTGTCACAGTAACCACTTCCATAGCCCCTGCCAATATCTCCTGTCATAACATACTATTGACACTGGTTGCTAGTGTGGAACTCCCGGGATTGCAGAGCTATACAC